GAGAGAGAGAGAGAGAGAGAGAGAGAGAGAGAGAGAGAGAGAGAGAGAGAGAGATTCATTAGCTTCAGAATAACATTTCTGGGCTTAAATATTTTAACCTTCTTTATAACTGTAACCTGCACAAGAAATCAAAAGATGATTGATGAATGCAAGCTGGATAGGAGGTTTCCTTAACAGATCTTTGAAACAAGCTGTTTCTGGGTTCTTAGATCTTCCTTTAAACAAAGAATGGAAGTCTTGTAAGCTCTTAAAATAAATAACCCCTCCCATAAAGATTCCCAAACAGGCTACAGGCTTTTGTTTACTGGTGGATGCCTGCCCCATGCTTGGTTATTTCTGACCAACGGCATCATTTGAGAAAACTACATATAGGAGAAACTTGTGTATGCAGGCTACATTAACAGCAGTTTTATTTATGGCCCAAAGGCCCAAAATGTTTTAAAAAACGTTTTTAAAACATTTTGGCTGTAAATAAAATTGATGAACAGCAGTGACTAAGTCAGACACAAGGAATAATCTAACATCATAAACAATTCCACTTTTATTATTCTCCTATTGTGATGGAATATCTAACAGACCTTGGAAATATGGAAGAGAAGAAAGAAAGACCATTATAGGAGAAAGATTAAAGATTAAAAAAAGAACAGCAGGGCTGTTAATGATTTAGGGGAGGGAGAAATGTAAGAAACAGACCCGGACTAACCCCATCTTAATTATGGTAGGTATTAATTGAGCTGAAGAATTGTTTTGGCAGGTTTTCAAGATTCTGCTACATTATTCTATTAGAACTAAAGTTTGTTCCAGAAATCCAAGCAATTATTTTTTTCTGAATCTGTCTGTCTCAAAGGGCTTGACACCTCAAGAGGCACCATCAGGGCATTTTGTTGGAGCAACAATCTAAGACTTTGCTCAACAGAAGGCACTCGAATATAGTAGAATTGATTTGCTGTATTTCTAAACAAATGAAATAATATGTATTACCATCCTATGGGAGAGAGAGGGGGAGATAATTTAGTTCAAAATCAAAAATTACTAACTGCACTTGTGTTCCTCAAGTTAGTATAACATATGCTGAAAATCAATCAGTTGCTGAGAAATATTTAATCAGATACTCGATGAGAAGGCCAATCAGTAAGAAACATAAGCAATTCCATCATGTTTGGTATAGTCCAATGACCAGAATCAAAAGATAGAAATTGGAAAGGAACTTAGAGAAGTTTCTTTTCCAGCATTCTCTTTTCATTGTGGGGATAAAAATGTATAATCTATCAGACAGGATTTTGTTTGTTTTGCTGTTTTAGAAACATAACAATAGTTGTGTTGGATAGACCAAAAGTATAGCATTTAAATTTTGAAACAGTCAAATAAATGATGTTGTGGAATCAATAAGCTTATGATAGTGATTCGTTCAATTCAATGCTGCTTTAAAGTACTAAGGATTTATGCCTCTAAGTTATAGAATGCTGGAATAGCATGCTGGTTTCCAAAGTAATCACTAGACTGAAGTTGCTAGCTATCATAGAATAGTGTGAATATGCCTGGTGTAAAATGGATCTGTTGTACTTATAACATATTGCCCAAAATGTGTTCTTATCATTAGTAAGGAAAGCTACATGTGACATAGATAAGGCTGGTAAGTTACTCTAAATCAGGGGTCCCCAGCACCTGGTCCATGGACCGGCACCAGTCTGTGGCATGCCAGCAACCAGTCTGTGCAAACAAGCGAAGCCCTATCTGAGGGATGCAGGCGGCATGCAAAATCATGCTCCATCAGGTCCGTGGAAAAAACCTTTCTCCACGGAACCAGTCCTTGGTGCCCCAAAGGTTGGGGGGGGCACTACTATAAATTTTCTCTATATTACTAAATAATATTCAGTAAAAGCCTCAATTAACCAAATCTATAATGGACAATGGAGGCCACTATCTTTGGACAATTTTGCAATAACCACAGTACATGAAAGACTATGAATTAGAATATAAGAAAAATAAGCACTAAAATTTATATCAGAAAGTACGAATTGGTTTCATCTACAGTAGGTTGCTATATCAGGAGCTTGGAGTCCATAGATTGCTGACAATTGTAATGAATTATGTTAATGGGAGAAAAGTGGAAGAAACAGACTTTGGTAGAAATCATGCAATATTCTTAATGAATGTGATGCAGGATAAAAATTACTGTTAGGTTACCTGAATGGATAGATGAGAGCAAGAGGAAGGAATACAGAAAGAGAGGCTGGATCTTCAGGAAATTGAAAATTAAATAAGAATGGTGACTGTATGCTGAGCACCTGCTCAGAAAAAGGTGTGCTTCAAAAATGTGATTGAAACTTAAGTCTCTTCATGCACATGTACCAAAGATATTAATACAAATCTAAATTCATGATTAATTTGACCTTTTATCATGAGAATTAATGAAGGATATAAGAGTGATGAAAGACTCTGAATATGGGACAGATTTTTTTATTTTATTTTTTTGCTGTCAAGAATAAATCTTGAGAGTAAAATTGTCATGGAATAAAAAAGAAAGGCATAAAAGATATGTCTGCAGGAAAAGAAAGTATGAGCCCTATATGAATAAGTATTAGACGATAGATTAATCTTCCAAAAGAATGAATGGAAAGTAGATGTAAGTTAAGAGGATATGGAAGATGCCTGGAACAGAGAATTGTGTTATTGAGGACCACAAAAGTAGATACAGATATATTAATGGGGAGTTTAAAATGGATGCCTGGTGGAATGATAAAGTGAAAGAGTTTGTGGATGCGGGGGGGAAAAATCCATATAAGAAAGTGATTGCTGCAGCAAAAATAAGAATAACAGTATTTATGGCAAATAATGTAATAAAAGAGAAGGAATAGTTATGAAAAAAAACACAGAGCAATTTTGATGGAGATTTTTTTTAAAAAAGTTCTGGAATTGGGCAAAAATTCAAGACAAGGAGCCTCACTGGTGAATGAAATTAAAAATAAAATGATTTGAGATTAACTGAAAAGGTTAACTGAAAGGGAATGTCAGTAAGTATTTTAAAGTTATGTATGGGTATGTCAGATGTATGTTGAGAAGTAGAACTGAAATAAATGCTTCAAATGTTAATGTCCAAGAGTTAGTGTTTCTCTCTTTCTTATCCAACTTTTCCTTCATAGAAATTAGCCATAATTCCGGAGTTCTATTCATACTTCTAGGAGCCGACATCCCTCTCGGAGTCCTGCCTTCTCAGCTTCTGAGCCTGGTTTCACCCACTGGACATAAATCCCGGTTCTGTTTCCTCCAAGGATGGAAATATCTCCAGTCAGTCCCCTGCTCTGGAGTGCTGGAACACTCAGGGGACTTGTATTGGACAAATGCACCATAACCGATCTAAAAGGGAAAGGAAACAATGAGAGGGATTTATATTCTGGTCTCTGCATAAATGGAGAGATGGATATGGGTTCTGTTTTACAAGAACAATATAAGGCACGTCCAGTAAAATGTTCTAGCTAGATTTTCTACAACTACTGCAGAGTTTTCATCTGAAGAGCCATACAATAACTAAATTCATGACACTGCTAGAGATTCTGGTCCTAGGGAGGCAAGATATTTTTATGGTGCAGCCTAAGGACACATGAATCACAAACTTAATTTTTTTGTCTTGATACAATAGTATCTTTTTTCATAGATCTACCAAATCTCAGGTGCCAGCAAGTTTCCAGTACCTTGGGCAACAGCCTCCGTTTCTTGTGCAAGAAAAATTATTGCCAGATTTTAAGCTGGAACTTTTCCAGCTTTTCACAACCTGATAATAGATGTAACAGATCACTATTCTCATCACACACACACCCAGGTACCAGGCCTATTGGAGAATATGAGAGTTGCAGTGCTCATGTTAGACTGCATTTGGAAGAAGCTAGGTTAATAAAGGCTATATTTTACCTGACAACAAGGTTTGCTTTGTTTTGTTGCAATTATTTGGATCTAATATAATTTGCATTGGGGGGAGCTGTATTTTCTTTCTTTTTTAATGTGATCTGCCCTGGAGAAGTATATTGCAGAGGAGTAAGAAAATATCTGAAAATATGAGAGGTGATTGCAAATCTGGATTCCATTTCCTTAAAAAAAAGTTCTGACATAAGATTATCATCCTTCTCGGTAAGAGTACTATATCGTCGAAGGGATCAACCACCGACGACTAGACTTGGCAGTTCCTTCATCTTCCACTATCACGGAGATCCGACGTCGTAGTCCCCCGACTCTAAACTTGAAACTACCATCTCCTGTTAGAATAAAAGATACTGTGAACACAACTATTTCGACAGAGATGAAACCAAGGAGAAAGCCAAACAGACCTTCTGGCAAACTTTTGTTGATCACAATCACTGGAGAGGCAGGCTTCTGATTTTGCCCTGGTGTGTGCACTGCTGGAAGAGGAAGGTGACCTGGCAGAAGAAGCTGTGGTGGTGGTACTTCCTGAAGGGGAGAAAGATGGAGAACAAGTTCGTATTATTCATTCTTACATTGCATGTAGAGGCTGGGGAGGTTCAGGGGAGGATAAACACTGACATAAATATGGGAAGAAAACCCCAAATGGAAAAGGGCTCTTTCACATACAAGGCTACTATGGCATAGGATGGGTGGAACTCAGGAAAGAACCTACACACCTACAAGCTTGGGTCACTTAAGGTGATATCAGCCGAAAGATAGCAAGTCATGGAATAAATATGGCCTCTTTAAAGGACCCCCATATTGCATTAAAATTAGGAATGCAGATGTCCATTCATGGAGTCAACAGAGAAGCTGTAGGCATTGAATGATTGGGTTTTGGGCCCACCTTTGGCATACTTAACATCTAAATGCAAAAATCCAGACAGGATCGTGCTAAATGCCAATCTTCCTGTTAGATGCCTTGGTAGTGAATGCCACAAAGCTATCTGATCTCAGGATATACAGTGAGACAGGCTCTAGAGATTTACAACCTGTCACCAAGAACCAATAACAGCCAGAAGCTGAAACATTCATCTTTTCCAGTTTCTACTCTTCTGAATCTGAATTGCATTCATTGTCTAACCACTCCCCCCTCCCCAATAAATTAAGTACACCAAACAGGAATAACCTGAGAGTCAAGCATGCATGCAGGACACCAGTGAGCCCCTGGATAATTAACCCAGAGCTAGCAACTGAAGCATAGGGCAAGTGTGCCCCCTGGTGGATGCATATTCATGCAGGTGATTTTGTAAGAGGAAAGTCTCTTCTCTCCCCTAACACAATAATCCCTCTAGCAGCTTTCAAGATGAAAATATTTGATAGGAAATCATGACTAGCAATACCTGTTAAGTCTTCCATGCTACCAAAGGACCCATAAGACCAACTAAAGACAGAAAAAATACAGAACACAATGGGGGGGAAACATTAATTTTTATAAAAATCAAAATAAAATCTCTTATATTAATATTCTTTCAGTTCTTCAAATCATTCAGAGGACATATAAAATAGTGGGAAGTTCCTTTCCAGCCTTCATTAATTCTCCACCATGTTATCATATTATCTATATTAATAAATTGCCCTTTTCAGCTTTTTTTTTGTAACCTGAGCAGGGTAACTTTGTCTATCTCATTCATCCTAGAGTCTAAAATCTCTTCTCTCAAAACAGAACAGTTAAAATCTCTGTGGAGCAGGTTAGAATTTAAGGTGTTCCTGTCTCTTGCCTGGCCCGTTTCTGTTCTCTGCCATGACTTCATTCCCTTCATTCCATTTCCAGAAGATAAATGTTTTTATTACCCATACAGAAAACTGATGGATTGGCAGAGAGGAGAACCTTGAGAAAGAGCAGTGACTGGATTGTTCAAATTCAGCACTGAAAGAATATCTCATGAGTTTCTGCCACTTGACAATCTGAATTAAACTAAGTCAAAAGGAGACAATCCAGAATTCACAGTAATACTGACATTCTACATGTCTGAGGTACAATATTCCTCTATCAGTCATACATTAATGCACTGTTTCTCAAGCTTGACAACTTTAAGATGTGTGGACTTTGACTCCTAGAATTCCCCAGGACTTTGACTCCTAGAATTGAAGTCCACAGACCATAAAGTTGCAAAGGTTGACAGGAAAAAAAATGCATTAATGTTGAAGGAAAGATTCTTTAGCTCTTCCGAATGGACAAGCCTAAGGTTCAGGAAGCCAACCGAGAAAATTTTCTTTACAGTCTATTCTAATTGTTACCTCTTGAAAGCCGTTGGCCCATCTTCACGCTGCCGTCGAAGTATAGAACCCGCACATGGGGGGAAGGGAAAGATGGAGAGCCGGTTTATTTCTTTCTCTCTGTCTGGAGTCACTTCCTAAGGAAAGCAGAAAACATATGTTGAATTCAGACAATTCCCTACCTCCTCACCCCATATTTCTTTGTCTAATCAGGCTAGGCTTGATATCACCGCTTGTGATTAATTTTAATCACAACTTATTCAACAAAAGGCATGCGCATATAAACAAAAATTCTGTAGACAAAGCCTTTTTTTTCTGATGAGGGTGCATCATGTCACACAGGTTATCATCTAACTGAGGCATTGAGGTACCATTCACAGAAGTGGGGTGATAAATTTTTATTTAATTATTTCTAACCCATCTTTATATTTTTACAAATAACTCAAAGTGGAGAACATATCCAGCCCACCTTCTTCCTGTTACAGTATTTTCCCCACAACAACCCTATGAGATGAGTTGGGCTGAGAGGGAGTGACTGGCCCAACGTCACCCAGGTGGCTTTCATGGCTAAGACAGGACTAGAATTAAGTCTTCCAGTTTCTAACTGGTGCCTTAGCCACTAGTCCTGTTGACTAACCTGATAACCTCTCAGGGCTTAGGGATGACATTTTCCAGAATTCTGAGTGGTCATAATGGGTGGGAATCCAATGGATTATAAACCCAACACTTCCTAGAAAATTTCAAATTGGTGAAGGGTAGCCTAAATACCAGAACTCTAATTAGAAGCTAATCTATCCAGCTTGCATATTTAGGACAGAATACAAAGGGAGGGTTCAAGTCCTATTTATAGTTTTATCATTTTGTTATCACCAGCAACTTCATTGATTAAAATTATCCCAACCAAAAACCATCCTGAGAGAACAGAACCAACTTCAGGAAGCAAATGGGATAGAAGCCAATTTGTTCATGGAAGCCAGCTATGAAGAGAACATAGGCTATATGACAGACTCTACTTTTAAAGGCATACAAGTATGGAAAACCAAGGGTAGTTTTGAAGTTGGCTCCAACCTTCTGTAAGAGAATTGAATTACACACGTCTGCATGTATTCCAGCACATATGGAAAACACCAAGATAGAGAAAGGCACCACAAATATATTGACATGCCACAGATCTCATTGTCATTTGTAATTTGATATTTCCTGGTTTAACAGCCATGAAACTAGCTATTCATCTAAACCCGCAGACTCAAAATTAGTGTCTCTTAAAGAAATTGTGTTGGGAACTACTGGCTCAGTCATTATACACTACCAAATTTTAAAATCAGTTGAATTTTCTTTATTCAAATTCACTATAGTCTCTCAATAACTGATGGATATGGCTTCCTGCAATATTTACTTAATGTAGGAGTCCAGTATACAATAAGCCAATATTAGAGGCTGTGACAGTCTTGCTGGACACAGTACAGAAGATTGCATAATTTTGTTTGTTCTGAGAATAGAAATTTTATCTGTTCTCATCAAAAACCATAAAAGAGGCTTCTCAGCAAGTTCCCATACATATGCTGGGATTGCAATTCCCAATTTAAAGCCCTCTAGATGTTTTGGGCTCTAACTTCCAAGATTCCCGATACAACTTGGGGGTGGTTAGTTGTAGGAATCTAACTTAAAGTTGAGACTCTGCCTAAGTATATTTTCAGTTTGGCTATCAGTTTTTGCCACTTAAACAGAAAAACAGCAATAGTTTCTAAGAAAATATAAAATTATCTTATACCACATCAGCTCTTTCCTCCAAAAAGCATCAGTTGTGCTTCTTCATTAATAGCCACCACAATATAGTCCTCCACATTTTGCTGAACTACAACTTTCAGCATCTCTCACTATCAGATGGGTTTTGAAAATTATACCTCAGTCAAGAGTGACTACTCTCCCATCTAATTCTTTGTAATTAAAGCTATTACCAAAGTGAGGTCTTTCAGAATTTAAGATAGCACCTTTTTAATTCATGGCTTATGCGATCTCTTCTTACCACATCTGGCCCTACAGAGTCTCTTGGGAATATAGTGTCCAGGATGTCTGGTGAATCTACAATCCCATCCTCTATTATGCTCCAACTGCTGCTGTAGAGTGAATGAGAAGAGGAACATATCTTGGGGGGCAGGAGGAGAGAAAAAGAGAGGATGAATGCAAGATACTTCAGTAAAGTAACCCATCTTTTAAGATTCATTCCTACACAGACACGCTTAATTTTCAGACAAGAATTCTTTGTGTTACTTCATTTACTGCATTGGTTCTATGGAGGGTAAAAAGAGCATTCCTTTTCTAATTTTAGGAATCATCCAGACTGACTCAATCATTTTAGAGAAAAATTTTGTTTTGCAGTACCAGAAGTTCTTAATATCAGGGTAGAATCCTATAAATGCAATGGGATTTGTTTTTGTTTCATTTTGATGAAATATCAAGGGCTTAAAGAAGAATCTGGGACAGTTTCGATCCTACAGACTTTAATGTAGTTTAAGGCTGGAATAACTAGCTGTCCTTTTTTGCATTCTTAGTGGACAAAGGGGTAGGGCTGTTTTTTACATGTGCTTCTTGTGTTTCGATTTCTCACTCTTACAGTTATCTAGGAGATGAGGGCAAGGAGAGTAGCTTATATTGCCATTCACATGTGCCCTCTTCCTCTCTAGTGAGCTTAATTGCATAGGAGAAGTGATGGCAGAACCTGGGGGCAGAGTGAAAAGGGGAATCAGCCTAGAATCCTTGGTAGCCACAAGAGAATTAAGTCCAACCTCCTTGAGTACTTACCTAATTCTAAGCAGTTGAGGAGATCCTGTGCATAGGCTTTTTGCAATAAATCAGTTTAATTGAACCTTCATGTGTGGTCCTGGAATTTTGAGCCTGACAATTCCATTAAATTCTAGCCTCCCTTTCCAACAAGTCATTGGTCTTCTCATTTTTCTTTTGAGGGATTCTTGGTGCTCTCTGAGCTTGGTTGTTTTCTTGCAGACATTTCATTACCCAACTAGGCAACATCATCAGTGCTAGCCTGTGATGTTACCTAATTTGGGTAATACAATGACTACAAGAAAACAACCAAGCTCAGAGAGCACAAGGACCCCCTCATTTCAACCCTGAGCTACAAATATTCTCCTCTATTGTCTTTTTTCTTCCAAGCATACCTTCTTGGCGAGGCCTCTGTTACACAAGCATCGCTGCAACTGTCCCTCTAGTGTGCCCTCAGCCTGTGTGAGTTTGCTCAGCAAGTCATCTCTCTCTTCCTCCAAAGTCCGAACACGTTTACGGTATTGGTCCTTCTCAATGAGGCTTTGGGAATACTGGAGCTGAATGTCATCTCGGCTCTGAATGGCCTAAAGGAAACAGTGAGGAAGGGGAACTGATGGGTGAGATTATAGGCAGAACTGTGCATAGCATGCACTCTTCTTTTCTCTAAATCACATTCTAAACAAGTTACATCCAATTTTGCACATTGCTTTATAATTTCTGCTGTTTTAGTATCCATAATCAAAAAGATAAAATGTCATGGTTTATTAAGGTCCTTTTCAGCTCCCTTCTGGTATTCACCAGGCCTTTCTAAACAAAAAAAATTCCTAATTGAAAGTAAAATTACAGTAAAATAGCTATTTGAAATATAGAGAAATGAGAATGCATTGACATATAATTCAATCAGTATACAATTACTTGTAGAGCAACAGCAATGGAGCAGAGCACATTTAATAAAAATAATCCAAATAACCGGGAACGGGTGTAAATAAACAATCCTGGCAGACTTCTAGATGTTTCTATCTGATCTAGGATATGAGGTCATATTACACAAGTATCTATGAAGAACCACACTGAGAAACAGGCTGGATTGGAAATATAAAGCAAGCATCGTTCTTCCATCTTATCATTCCTACATGGTTTCTGTATTTTTCTATTACTTTGAATAGCATGAAATAGGGTAGCAAGAATATTATTACCATAACATGTGGTTTAATCTTAACTGTATACCATAATTATAAGCCAAAGAAATATTTCAGAGGAGAAGCAATTTACCTGATCTCTTTCCTTCTCAATCTCCTCTAGCTGAGAAAGCACGGTGTTCATTCTGTGCTTATACAGATCACAGTTCTTCTGCAGAGTATGGAATTTCAATTGTAAATCCTCCATTTCCTGCAGATACTGGAAAAGAAATTTCAGAGATGGATAATTTTCCAAGTAAATGTTCAGGTCCTAAACAAAGGCAGTTGGAGGTTTGCAATCTCTTTTCAAACGACAGGGTTCAGAAAGAAGAAAGTGTACATGCATCTGTTCTGCATCACCTGCACCCCATTTTCAATTATCAAGCATTGCTTAGGACAAAGGGAGTAAATTTAGAAGTTCCAGAATAGAAAGCATGTACCTGATGTTTAAAAGATAGGAGATAGGGGAGATTTTTTCTGCTGAGGTCCAAATTGCCTTAATGATATCCTATGAAGATGTTCATTCTAACATAGTGAGATCCAGAAATGAATAGTATTAGAATCTTGTTTTCTTTTTTATATACCTGTTTGCAGGGATGGAAGTGGGATAGCATTATCATCTTCCATTGCCTGTTTCAATTTGCAAAAGATTCCTTCCATAGGTTTTCCTGGCTTTTTTTCAAAAGGGCAGAACAAAGTAAGGACTATCAGTGACCAGAGTCCAAAAATATCTTGACTGGTGCTCTGCTTTTAGCCCATGGCACAAGCATTCCCTGCTCACTAATGTCTGGAACAAGGATTTCATGGCTGTTCCAATGCATCTCCAAGCTTAAATGTCTGGGGTTAAAGTTACAGCATCTTACCTTATCTCTCAGCTGTTCAGCACACTGCAGCTCATTCTGTAAGGAGCTGAGCTTCTGACACAGTTCCTGTCGGTCTGCTTGTGCTTCCTTCCAATCATGCTCCAGAATGTCTAGAAGAACCCTCTCAGAGCCTGGCACATGGTCTTCCCTTGCTTTCTAAGCAGTAAAGAAGGAAAGTCACTCATCTGTTAGGACAGGGGTCTTCAAACTTGGCCCTTTTATGACTTTTGGACTTCAACTCCCAGAATTCCTCAGCCAGCATGCCTGGCTGAGGAATTCTGGGAGTTGAAGTCCACAAGTCATAAAAGGGCCAAGTTTGAAGACCCCTGTGCTAGGATATAATGATTTCAGGATAATTAAGGCCTTTGGGGGGGGAAAGAACAGAAATCAGTATGCTTGCCTAAGGAATATTTTAAAATATCTCTAGCAGGAGCTCCAGAGTAGAGTGCTCTATCTATTCTACTCTTTGCCTACTTGACAATCTCCAGATGTGTTCAACACCCTTCATCCTCAGTTAGCCTTGGAAGGCCTTTTTTTAAAGAAAGGCTAACCAATTCAATATCTATATATCTTCCCTACCACCAAAAGTGAAAGATGCATTTGTGCAACAAACTTCATACCAGTGTCATACCATTTTTAATTTCATGTCCGCTTTTAAATAATTCTGAATCCTCTAGTCTAGTAGGAATTCTGAAAACTGCCAATTAGCAAGCCTGGCCCCTTAGTTTCTAAGCAAAGAATAGCTGTTAAATCTATTTGAAAGTATAAGATTGATGCCGTTTAACAGCCTTTTCGTTCATTTGCAAGAGCAGCCTGGGATATTCTGCTGCCTGAGATGGAGCAATCAATGGTGCCCCTGCTTGCAAAATCAAGATACATTGATTCTAAGGTCAATCACGTTACTGTCTTCTAAAACAGAAAACCACACAAGCAGATCTCTCTCTTCCTTGTCAGTAGAGAAATATATTCCACAATTATATACTGGCTTCCTTTTGAAGCCCAAGAAACTTGTCTCAATATCTCTAACAGTTACTTCAGTCCTGATAGTGCTTCCACAGGCTGACTCTGCATCTCCCTGCAGAGCCACAGTAGCTGTCAGAGCCAATAATGTACAGGCACAGCTCTAGTTTTGATTATATTTAGATGAATGATATGAGGAGATCTAAGCAGTGAAAAATATTATTCTAAAGAGACAAGCTGTGTCAGATTGAAACCGTATAGTCAAAACATCATAGCTAAGCAATGTTTTATGGATGATTGTGAACATGGGCAGATTGGCTCATGTCTTCCAAGATAAGAAACTTACAATTTCATGCTTTCTGGGACGCGTTCTTAAACTACTCTAGATAAAAATTATAGAGTATAATGGAAATGGCAATATTTTGCTGTGTATGTAATAGATTTATATAACTGATTGCATCCATAGGCTTCTTCCTTACGAATACTTTTCTTGAAAACTATATATTCTTCCTGGTTAAAAAATTAAAAGGATTTGGGGGAAAGGAAGAATTTTAAACCAAAATATACTGTATTTAAGTAACATTCACTAAAACTAAAACAAATTAGCATAAGTTGTACATCATGAGATAACTTATGTAAATAACCAAATAATTGGAATCCACAATACAGGGATAGTTTTAAATCATAAATTCAATGAAAACTTCAAAACTATATATATTCATATATTTCAGGGTAAAAATAGGGGTTATTTGGTAACCCAGATATAACAGGCTGTTTACATCTCCCAAACAGCTGAGAATCACAGCTGTTCATACCACCCACTGATATTTTAGCAGCATCTAAGCCAGTGCTAGAGGCCCTCTTTTTAAAATATGTTTTATTTTTAGCACTCTACCAACTCAGGTTCTAATCCAGTACTAGTGCAAGAATGAACACAACTCTCAGGCAATACGTAGTATGTTTATAGCTGGGTGGCAAGTCTTACACTTATTATAAAAGACTACTTTGTACTGAAGCTACTCAAGGAGAAACATTTGTCAATGTTGTGATGAGGTAATTTAAAGGGAACAAAGACTGTGATTCACAAAAATACAAGACACTGCTGGAAAGGAAGAATAGCCTTGCTGGCATTCACCCTTTCATTGTTTAAGGTCTACATATAAAATCACACATATAACTAGTTTAGTGTCTGCCAATCAGATGCCCTTTAATTGCATTGGATTATCATCTGTATGCTTAAGTTCCAACTGGAACAATAGTAGTAGAAGTATAGTACCAGTTTTGGTCACCGCGATGTAAAAAAGATGCTGAGACTCTAGAAAGAGTACAGAGAAGAGCAACAAAGATGATTAGGGGACTGGAGGCTAAAGCATATAAGGAACGGTTGCTGGAATTGGGTGTGTCTAGTTTAATGAAGAGAAGGATGAGGGGGGACATGATAGCAGTGTTCCAATATCTCAGGGGCTGCCACAAAGAAGAAGGTGTCAAGCTATTTTCCAAAGTGCCTGAAGGCAGGACAAGAAGCAACAGATGGAATCTAATCAAGGAGAGAAGCAACCTAGAACTAAGGAGAAACTTCCTGACAGCTAGAACAATTAACCAGTGGAACAACCTGCCTCCAGAAGTGATGAATGCTCCAACACTGGAAGTTTTTAAGAAGAGACTGGACAGCCATTTGTCCGAAATGGTATAGGGTTTCCTGCCTGAGCAGGGGGTTGGACTAGATGACCTCCAAGGTCCCTTCCAACTTTACTATTATTGTTGTTGTTGTTGTTGTTGTTGTTGTTGTTGTTATTGTTGTTGTTATTATTATTATTATTATTATTATTATTATTATTATTATTATTATTATTATTAAAATAATCATCATCACTCTAGCCATTGTCTATCCACTGCAGGGTAGACATGTTTCCTACCAATACAGTCCTGAGCTTTCTTTTGCCAATTGGGCCTGCAATACTTGCTTATGTCATAGATCCATCTTGTGTTAAGTCTCTTTCGTGGACACTTTTTATCAAGTGGGATCCATTCTATGACTACCTTGGTCCACCTGTCATCATTTCTTGCTAGGTGACCAGCCCATTTTCATTTCAATTATAATAATAGTCTTTATCACTTGGTTTTAAGAAAAAAAAAAAATAACAGTCCTGGAACCAAAAGACTGGATTCATACATCACATTACAGTGATTTGTTTTAGTTTGGCATAGTTTACTGTGTGAGCACGACAACTTGCAAAGCTTTGTTTATGACTTAAGTGTGATATATGAATCAATTGTTTACTTGTTTATTAAACAAACCAATAAAGTTAGTGTGAAGTAGCAATCCAGTCACAGGCCCAGAATGAAATTCTAAAATAGAAGTTTTAATTATATGCAGATGAAATGGGTTTCCTTTAAAGTCCTCAGCAGCCTTCCCTGACATCTGGGTTCCAAATGTATAAAACAATGCACAAATTGCCCCAAGCCTATTTAACTTTTTACTTGAAAACTTATGTGAATTCCAAAACTTCTCAAAGGCACCAAGTAAGAAATCTGGACTATACAATGAAGAACTTTGGAGGGTCCATAGATGAAATCTCACAGCAGGCCATCAAATAATGAGGGTCTAGCACAGTGGTTCTCAACCTGTGGGTCGGGACCCCATTTGGGGTCGATTGACCATTTCATGGGGGTCGCCAAGCAAGGCTGTCCACCATTTTTTTTGTCCGCCGTTTTTTTTTGTCCGCCATTTTTCCCCCTTTTCCGGCAGGTGCCTTACCTCCCTTGGGCTGGGCCAGCTGGTGGTCGGCCTGCTCTGTCTCTGCCGCTTGCCAGCTACGCCTCGGCCGGCGCAGGGGGCGGAACCATGCATGCGCGGCACTCCTGGGCAGGGAAAGTCCTCGACTTACGACCGGTTGGGTAGTCCTCGAATTACCACCGGTTCAGTCCTCGACTTACGACTGGTTTAGTCCTCGAATTACGACCGGTTTAGTCCTCGAATTATGACCGGTTGGGGTCGCGGCATTAAAAAGGTTGAGAACCACTGGTCTAGCAGCACCTGATGCTCTGAGTTATGATGTTTGGGTTCCTCTAGAACCAAATAATTTTTATAGAACAAGGTTGCACTTTCAAATGCTGTCCCAGTTTAAATACAAAAATGAATTCATGCACGAGAAGGTTCAGGGTAGAGAATGTTTCTACGCATTACTCTCAAATCCACGTTTTTCAGAATGTACCTGCATTACATTCTGCAACTCCTGAAGTGAAGCAATTAACCTCTGGTTCTCAGCTTGCAAATCAGAAATGTCAGTAAATCCATGATCCTCCACCTCCCGCTGAGGGGCCATTAATGTTTGTTTCTTCAATAAGGAACACTCTTCCTCCATACTAGCGATCTTGCATTTCAATTGATCTATCTGAAATTTGGAACAGATAAAAGACTATTACAGCACTACATTGATTGTAGCACTAGGCAAACAAGTAGTTTACATTTGTATAGGGCTTCATTTTGATTGGGAAGTTAATCAAAATAAAGTCCTACATGAAACTTTTTAATGGTTCACAGTCAATAAAATATTGTAATAAAAAGGAGTAAATTGGAGTATAGGTGAGTTCTCTTCACAATATATACCCTATTTCTTAATTTAATAATGGATTTGTGGATTGGAAAGCCAATCATTTAATGGACACATGCTCAAAAACATTTAAAATAATAGGTAAAAAACCCCAGAAGATTTGACATGCCTTCTCCAATTTTATTTCCTCCAGCTAGACTTCAACTCTCATCATTTATGGCCAACACATCCAAGCAGGCTCACTGACATAGGATGGTAGAAATTGTTATCCAACATGACTGGTGGCAACTAGTTTGAGGAAGGCAGAATAGTGGTTTCAGAAAATGTCTAATCTAAACACATATATAGATTTAAAGTTAAAGTTGCATAAAGAGGAAGTAGACATGCCCATTGCTCAAAGTGAAATTCAAGTAACCAAGGGGCTATCTAATAAATTCTGTCAAGTATCTGGAGTGAAACATTGTTTAAAATGGGAACTTGACATCTATTTTATACCCCTACCTGCTTTTCAATTTTTCAAATGTAATCTAACCTGGGATTCGTCTGAAGAATCTACCAATCTCCAGAACAAATTCTAGTGATTGGCACATTAGATGAATCCAGGGGTTGCATTTAATTTGCAGCAATTCTAAGACTGCTGAAAGCATCTAAAAGGAAGACACAAGGGTAATCTAGCTAAACTCACATCTTAGACCACCATGGACAATGTTTGGTAGCAGGAAAGTGTAAGAAAGGCCATACTAAAGTAAAATTGATGGGTTGCATTACACACATAGACAGGGTTGGGATTTTTCCTCTTTTCTGCTTGAGTGAGAATTATGCTTTTTTAACAGTGTTATCTTGGGTTTATGCTTTCAAGTTTCCATGTCTTTCCCATCTCAAAATGGCAAAAAAAATCATGCCCCCAATTTTGGAAACCATGCCAGAAAATTCAACAATGTGGTCAAAATGATTTTAGGGACTAGAATAAAAAAAAAGCACTACCAATTTATGTTTTAACCAACAAGAAGAAAACAATCAAGCATTCCTACACAAAAGGAAAACATACAATATACTGAAACTGCAGCACACAATACTCCATCATGTTAAAGTGATCAATGCTGTAAGATGAGATTCTTAAGTTTTTTTTTCTCTCTTTTATAAATATAGTCACACACTAGCTCTATTCTATCTTAGCCTGGGTTGTTCAAGGTAATTTATTTATCAAATTTATGCGCCACTCATCTCACAGTACAAGAACCATGAAGTCTGTATTTCATATTTTGCCTTTACCATAAAATCAATAGTCTCAGGTAACTTTCATCTGCAATATGGTACAATAATACCAGTTTATCTGATGGTTTTAAAGATTTTTGAGATAAAGTAATGAAGATGACTATGAATTCAAATATTATATGCAAATAATTTGATATCATGCTATAAAATTGGTAGTTTCATGCTTTAAGCACAAAGAAAGATAAATGTTGAAATAATCAGAATCTAAAGCAAATCTTGAAATAACCAGAATAATTTATATGCAGTATTTCATAGCATATAAGTACATATAAATGCGCTCTCAAAATTCATCCTACATTTCAGGGAGATACAGTTAACATGAAAAGATGCCCCAACCCAATTATAACTTATTTAATTTGCTCAAAAGAAAATTAGGAATAGTTCTGCCATGGCCTATAAATTAATGCTTCCCAGAGCAAACACGAAACCACTTCAAGCTCAGATCTAACTAAAAAAGGCCAGGACTGCCACCATCTATCATTTTTACAGCATCATCAATATGCATAGGGCTTTGAACAGTAAAATAGCAGGTAGTGGCTTATTCTTCAGGGACATAACATAATTGGAAAAAGGGGGGATATAATAAATATCTGACACCATATTATTAAATGCAATTATAATTTACACATATCCTTAGATAAGTTATAATCTGGAGGGTCAACATAAGGCCAAGCAAAAGAGACAAACAAAAGGCCCAGAATTTTATGTGTTAGGAAAGCAAGGAAAAACTGAATGGCTATCTAGAATTGCTGCTATACCTGGAGGCTTGCCTTGCATGCAATCCATTTAATCCATTTAAAAAGAGAAAGTCCCAAGAGATATGCAAAACTCCTACCTGAGACCCATGAGACCCCGTTAGGCCCCTGAGACCCCTTAAGACCCATTATTGCCTATTCTGCCAATCAGAATAGGCAATAATGGACTAAATAGATCAACAGCCTGACTTAGAATAAGGCAGCTTCTTTTTACATTTATTGATGTCTGGGAAAGATGACTGGACATATTTGGAACACTGGGCATTTTGAACTGCAGATGAGAATATTGAGGAGGGAACATAAGTCAAGAGTTAAAGTCTTTCTTTATATGCAACACATCCCAAATTTAATTCTGATACCTACAGCTTTATAAATATCAGATATGCAATGGTGTGGATGAGCTTCCTACATAAAATCCAACAATTCTTCCTGGTTAAATAAATTATATTAATAATTTGATAGTAGAAAACAACTTATGTTCCAAACCAAACTAACTTTTTTTTCCTGGGGATACTTTAAAAGAACACTAAGGCCATAATCTTGGGTTGTTTTGGCCTTTCCCACAAAGACCTTTTTGACTTAGTCCAGTCCACGGGTAAGCAACCCGCGGCTCCGGAGCCGCATGTGGCTCTTTGAGCCTTCTCCTGCGGCTCTCAGCCTCCTCTGCCATTTGCAGAGAGAGAGACAGAGACAGAGAGAGGCACTTGCACTTCCCTGCTTCCCTTCTCTCTCTCTCTCTCTCTCTCTGTGTGTGTGTGTGTGTGTAAAAAAGAGAGCGGACTCATGCTGTTCCGACAAGCTGACAAGCTTATTGGGCAGGGCTCCTCCCTTTGCTGCGTTTCTGCAGGAAGCAGGAAGGGCAGGAGAGAGCCAGCCAAATAATGTGTGTCAGCTTGTTGCAGAACAGCCTGAAGCCAGCTTGCCAGGTGAGCAGAAGATTGGAGAAAGGGAGAGGGAGAGAGAGGGAGAGAGAGAGAGAGAGAGAGAGAGAGAGAGAGAGAGAGAGAGAGAGAGAGGAAAGAGAAAGAGAGAGGGGGGAGAGAGGGAGAGAGAAAAAGAGAGAGAGAGGGAGAGAGAGAGAGAAAAAAGAGGGAGAGGGAGAGAGAAAAACAGAGGAAAAGAGAGAGAGAAAAAGAGAGGAAAGAGAGGGAGAGAGAAAGAGAGAGGGAGAGAGGAAAGAGAAAGAGAGAGAGAAAGAGAGAGGGAGAGAGAGAGAAAAAAGAGAGAGGGGGAGAGAGAAAAAAGAGAGGGAGAGAGAGGGAGAGAGAAAGAGAGGAAAAGAGAGAGAGAAAAAGAGGGAGAGGGAGAGGAGAGAGAGGGGGAGAGAGGGGAAGGAAAGAGAGAGAAAGAGAGGAGGGAGGAAAGAGAGAGAAAAAGAGAGGGAGGGAGAGGAGAGAGAGAGGGAGAGGGAGAGAGGGGGAGGAAAGAGAGTGAGAGAGAAAAAGAGAGAGAGGAAAGAGAGTGCGAGAGAAAGAGAGAGGGAAAGATGAAAGAGAGGAAAGAGAAAGAGAGGAGAGAGAGGGAGAGAGAGAAAAAAGAGAGAGGGAGAGGGAGGGGAGAGAGAGGGAGGGAGAGAGGGGGGAAGGAAAGAGAGAGAAAGAGAGAAGGAGAGAGGGGGAAGGAAAGAGAGAGAGCAAGAGAAAAAGAGAGGGAGAGGGAGAGGAGAGGGAGAGGGAGAGAGAGAGGGGGGGAGGAAAGAGAGAAAGAGAGAGAGGGAGAGAGAGGAAAGAGAGAGGAAAGAGAAAGAGAGAGGGAGGGAGGGAGGGAGGGAGAGGAGAGAGGGAGAGGAGAGAGAGAGAGGGAGAGGAAAGAGGAAAGAGGAGAGAGAGAGAGAGAGAGAGAGAGAGAGAGAGAGAGAGAGAGAGAG